TTCATTCAGCACGGAGGATGGAACATACTCTGACCAGACCTTTCTTATGATCCTGGAGAGGGACCTTGGATACACTACCAGAGGTGGACAACATCCAGACCAGGTTCCATTAGATGGGAGTCCCCTAAACTGGATTTTATCATCTGACACGCATTTAAATAGCGCTTCTGGGGAGTTTGCAATCTCGCTATCTTTTGCACACCACCGGATGTTTTCTCACTCCCTGGCTGATTATCCACTTCCAGGTTCAATCACCCATTGATATCTCATCATTTGAAGTGACATTTCTACATCATTTATTCTCCTACCCATTAGGACATTTTTTGGATCATACGATAATATTAACCTATCCTTATGATATTCATTTATTTTCCATTTATGAGCTGCACTACTGTTATGTTTATATGATTTTCCAGAGAGGATTTGTAGTTCCTTTTTGTGCATTTGCTGCTATTTTAGTTGGTGCTCGCTGTTGTCTTGTGTTTATATTTTATAAGTCACTGATTGCTGCCATTACTAGTATATGAAAAAAAAATTCCAGTATATATACTGCCATTTGAAGGCATTATAACTTTCACGTAAACCAATTAATTTACACATACTGGGAATGTTTTTTTTAGCAAAAGACATGTAGCAGAATACATTTTGGCCTAAATTTATGATGAAATTTGATTTTTTTAATTTTTTTATTGGATATGTTTTTATAGCAAACATTCTAAAATATTGTTTTTTTATCAAAATTTTCGGTCTCTTTTGGTTATTGCACAAAAAAAAATGCAGGGGTGATCAAATACCACCGAAAGAAAGCTATATTTGTGGGAAAAAAGGACATAAATTTCATTTAGGCACAGTGTTGCATGACCACGCAACTGTAAGTTAAAGTACCACAGCGCCATATAGTAAAAAATGGCCTGGCCAGGAAGGGGGTTAAATCCTCTGAAGGGCAAGTGGTTAAGGCCCCTGTCCTTTCAACCATGCAATTCCCTTTCATCTACTTGAAGGGTAACTCTAGTTTCTTATTTTCTTGCTGACCTTGTCTGTTTTCGATTGCAGTTTTGCTGGGTTATTTGAAATCTCCACCACTACATCCTAACACCTCATGGTTAGGTTATTACATTTTAGCTGTATTGGCATAATTTACACACAGACTCTACTCTAATTCGACTGCAGTGGGTTAACGGGCCTAGTCTGTAAAATACAGATTACTGACTGCCAAATTTAGTACAATTAGTAAGGGAATCTACGAAGGGGAACAAATAGTTTGATTTAATATACATAAGTGGAAGCAGATACGTTTAGGAAGTCTGTGTCACAATCTCAATTTCACTGTTTATTAATGGTGTTTGTAAAGTGACTTCTAGTAAAATAAATCTTAATTTATTTCTCTAGTTTCGTAGTCCGTACTTTCATGCAATTTTATTGTGTTTAAAGAATATCTGCATGGGGTGAAGAATCTCAGGAATAATTAATTAGTCAGCTTAATTTATTTTTAGTAAATTCTTTTTGTATTGGAGGTACTATTATCCATCCATTGATTAACAATATAGTTGACTCAATTACCCATTCAAACATCCTAGCAATCTGGAGTTTGTCTTCTCCCTGATGTTTTCCCACATTCCTAGCAGCTGCTTTACTGCCTAATAGGATTGTGTAGGAGACAAGGAGGGGCAGGTAAGCACCAACAGCAGGACACCAGGTAAGTGTGAGCAAAAATACAAAGACTTTATTCAAAGTTCACTTACATGTAGGAAAATCTGTATACAGCTCCATTGGTCAGTGCGGAATACAGTGACAGCTCTTCCCAGTCTGGTGAAGCCGATAGCAGACCCGCTGTGTGGTGGAGGTCGGCAGCATCTCTCCTCTCGCTCCCACCAACTGACAGGGATTCATGACAGGTACTGTGACAGATGAGTGGGCCGCAATGTGTTTCCAAGACACCGCCTCCTTTATCAAGTGGCCCGCCCAGTGGGAGAGAGTGTATTTAAGAACTGTCAGGCAGAATGGGACATGGGCAGAGCAGACATGCAGTAAAGAGAGACACTGACCAGGACAGGGAAAAGACTATGTGTAAATAACACAGTATTAGCGAACAATCGGGTGATTAGTGTGTGGAGAACGGACCATGCAGCTGGTATCATCAGCTCAACTGACACCAATTAAAACACATGTAATGGGAACAGAGATCACGGTACTATACAAAGTAAAAGAATAAAAATAACAATAATAACAACAATGATAAAAATAAGAATATAAAGATGAGAATAAACAATAATAAGTCATTAATAAAACTATGCATTAAAAATGCTGAATCAAAACCAATGATAAAACATCCAAAACAACAGAATTGTGACAAAATAAGCCGTGATTTCTATTGAATAGCCATAACTCTAAATACCCACATTAAGTGACATATCGATTAACATATAGATATATTGGAAAAAATTCCTGGACATGTGTAAAAAAATGTAAACATGTATACATATAAGTATATGGAAAATTGATAAATAATGAGTAAAAAAAAATAGATGAATAATCATAATAGGACAATTACATATAATATGTGGGGTTTATAATCTACACAAGTAGATATAATGATAGTATCGTTCTAAAATCATACGCTACATCTAAGTGTAAAAGTAACTGAAAATACAGAATATATGCAAGCCCGCTTTGAGGAACAGAAGAGACTTATTGAGGGTGCCTGTGAAGACCACATTGTCCCCAGACATTTTCTCACACTACCAGGGGCAGACTGACAACTCATGGGGCCCCCAGGCAATAGGGGATCATGGGGCCCCTGTGTCCTTGCCCAAACTCAAAAAAGCCTATGAAAAAGGTACCAGGGGCATCTCATGGGGCCCCCTACTGACCCCGGGCCCTCGGGCAGTGCCCGAGTTTCCAAATGGTCAGTCCACCTCTGCACACTACGCAACAAATCCACAGAGGGCCTGAGAGTTTAGGGGGGATTCCATTCCTCCCTGTTTTTAATGCAAACTGTTAGACAGGACAATTAGGTTGGTTGCAGGCTGGACGGTAAGTTGAGCTGGGAATTTTTCTCTTTTATTGTTTGACGTGCATCACTCTTCCATGTGCTCTTTGCTGTGAAGGCCAGTTAAAGATTTTGAGCAGTGGCCATTTATTTGTTTCCCCTGTGATTCTTTACCAAAAAGGTTCCAAAGGCTCTGCAGTAGAGACCTTTTGGATATTCACTCACAATACCCTGGTACCTAAAGGACTGAAAGAAGAACTAGAAATCAACACCATTAAATATGAATTTGAGTACATTCTGTATTTGCAGTGTGTCAGGTGAGCTGGTGATACCGGCTGCATGGTCCGTTTGCCACACACTAATCAGCTAATTGTTCACTAATACTGTGTTATTTACACAGTCTTTTCCCTGTCCTGGTCAGAGTCTCCCTTCACTGTGCGGCTGGCTCCACCCATGTCCTATACTGATTGGTCCCCATCAGCTGGGATGACAGTTCCTAAATGCCCTCTCTCTCACTGGGCGGGCCAGCTTGATAAAGGAGGTGGGGCTTTGGAAAAACTCATTGTGGCCCGTCCATCTGTCACTCATGGTACCTGTCATAAATCTCTGTCAGTTGGTAAGAGTGAGAGAAGAAATGGCGCTGATGTCAACCACACGATGGGTCTCCACTTATGCCTTGCAGCTGCTATCGGGTTCACAAGACCCAGGAGAGCTGTCATTGTACACCGGTTTTCCTACATGTAAGTGAGCGTTGAATAAAATCTTTGTGTTTTACTCATACTTACCTGGCACCCTGCTGTGTGCCTTTTTTCATGCTCTCTGAGGGATTTCCCAGAACCTTGGTAAGGAGCTTCCGGAGCGTGTGTGTTGTAGCCATCCACATATCCCATACGTCCATCCATCCAGTGTTATACTTCTCATGGACTGATTACAAATGATCATTATCCATTGTTGTTTTGAGCACTCACATTACTTGTTACTATATAGTTGTCAGGCAAGCTCCAACACTACAAAGAGGTCTCAGAGCTTTGCCTGTCAGAATGGCTTAGAATTCTGGTAAAGCAGGAAAGGTTCTGAAATTGCTGGATGTATGAGCACCTTTGGCTCCCTGCACGTCATAACGCAATGTGAGATTTTATTTTTTTAACCAGTGGTGGAGTACTTTGAAAGGTTCTCCAATAACATGGTACCCCCTGCCAAAGCACTAGTACCTTTGATGCCCAAAAAAAATGTAGAGGGTAATTTCCTAAAGTGTGAAGAAAGGTGAAGGACATCTGTGTTCACTTCATATATCCACTCTGCACGAAGAAGTTGATTAAAAAAAAAGTCACTGTACAAGCTCAGGTGGGTAAATGTAAGCTCAAGCTCACTTCACCTCACATTATACTTTATTTAATCAAGCCCATTTATAGAGAAATAAAGAAGACCAAGGAGTAATCAACATTTCATTCAAAAGGCAAATCTAGCTAGTACATGAGAAAAATATTCTGGGTAATCAACAGAAACAGAGCATTCCTCATACAGAAACATGCAGAATTAGGCCTCATGCACACTGGGCAGTTTAAACTCTGCAGCATCTTACAATTTTTCTTTTTTTTTTTTTGCCTCTAAACACCCATAAATGTTAGCCTATGTGTCCCTGCACACATAGGCATTTACAGGTGTTTAAAGCAGGAGCATTTAAAGGCAGATAACAAAAACTCACTGCCAGCGCATTCAGGAGCAGCAGCATTTTGGCAGAAAAAAAAACACCCGACGTTTCTAAACATGCTTAAGCGCTAGGTGTTCGCATGTGCATTCATTGCCAATGAAATGAATAAATGCCCAAGTGTTTGATACGCTTAAACGTCACTAAATGCATTTGCAAAAATGCAGCTTTAGACACATTTTTAGGTACATTTTTGACACTGCTTTTCTCATGCCAGGAGAAAGGCATTTAGAAGAGCTGGGCAAATGCCCAGTGTGCATGAGGCCTAAGGGTATAAGGGGCTGTAGACAGTAGTGTACTTACAACATGGCTTGGACTAGCAGTGTAAAGTGTTAATTCTTTATGCTGCAGTTGAAATAAAAATATGCAAAATGTAAAACATAAATAACTTGAAGGAGAAAAATAAAAAAAACACAATGCAATAATACTATGCATGATAAACCATACGGTTGAGAATTACATTTTTAACCTTGTTAACAACAAAGTACTTTGTATTTTTAAGAAAAAAATATATATATTAATATAATATAATCAGTGGTGTGGAACTTTTTGAAAAAAAAATACTTGTCCAGGGACTAAATCGGTGTCCCAATCTACTTGTCCTGCATGACCATCTACTTGTCCTGATTAAAAAACATAAATTTGAACCAAAACCGTATTTAAATTTTCTTTAAGTAATGTCTGGGGCTTTTAAAAACAAAAGGGGCTTTATGGTGACTTAAACGTGCCAGCACCGCACTCGGGGACTAGCAGGGAGGGGGGAGACCTTGCAGTGTAAAGAACACCGATTGGGTGCTCCTCGGGAAAGGGGAGTATCTGGCTTATCCTTTACCCCTTTCGCTGCCAGAGCTGTTTTTTTGCGTTTTTTGCACACGTTTAAAATATCGTTTAAGGCCTGCAGATGACACAAAACCCCCAAACATTATATATTTTCTGAAATCAGGGATCCTACAGAATAAAATAGTGGTAGTTCCAATTTTTTATGTCACACGATATTATCACAAAGGTCTAGGAAACGCAAAATTTCTGTAATTTTTGTAAAATTTAAAATATAAGGTTGCATCAAGTAAATGATTATCCAACATGTCAAACCTTAAATTTGCACGCAGGTGTGAAATAGCAACAAATGTTAGTACCCTATATTTTCTATAGGTGGCACTTATAGGTCATCAGTATAGTGTTATGGAGGAGGTCTGGTGCTAATGCTCTCATTCTGGCGTGCGCGGCAATATGTGACATGTATATCGCAATCAACGTTTTCATGTGTAGGTACCCGATCATGTGCTTTTACGTTTGTGCGTGCGTACATATGTGGGGGTAGGCCTTGAAAAATTTGGAGGGGGGGGGTTATATGCTTGGATGTAACTTACATTTTAAAAAAAACTAAAATTGTTTTCACTTAACTTTTTTTTTTCTTTTTAAATCACATAGGGGACAAAAAGTCCCCTATGTGATGATTTTTTTTGGTAACAGGTTTTCTCTTTTGAGACATCCAGGGTCTAAAAGACTCTGCATGTCTCCCCTGTGCTCCATTGAATGTAATGCAGTGCACATCGCACCGCATTATATTTCTTTCCTGGCCAATGACCGGGAATGTGTCAAACGGGGACCCGGAAGTGGTGCCACCGTCACACACTGAGCCAGTCCCAGGCCTGCAGATGGGCAAGTGGAGCCCGGGACATATAGCGGGCAGGGGGAGAGGCTGACACTGTGGGTTGTGTGGAAGCAATCGGGCAGTACCGCTGCCGCCCCGAATGCTTCCACCTGACAGATGAGCACTGCTGTTTGCCCGCAGCAGGGCTAAAGGCAAAAAAAAACTACAGGCCCCGCGCCCGGAACTGCATGTATCGGGTGTTGGGCGATAGGAATTGCACATCCCTGCTATGTATATTAATATACTGTGATATTTTCAGTTTGTGGATCACTGAAGGGCAAACAAAACAGCTTATCCTCAGCATAAACAAACAAAACAACCCGTACACTTTGGCACAACACAAAGTGTTGGCTCACTATCAGCATAAACTTGTCCCACCACAGGGTTCTGAAGTTCCTGCCTGCTCCAGAGGTCCAGAAAGGGTCACTGAAGTCAAGGAGCATGTCAGCAAACAAGCAGCCCTCTCATACTGGGGTTTAATTACTAAAGCTGGAGAGTGAACAATCAGGCTCACTTCTGCATAGAAACCAATCAACATCCATGTTTTATTGCCAAAGCTTAACTGAACAAGCTGGCTTCTATGCAGAAGTGATCCTGATTTTGCACTCTTTAGCTTTAGTAAATAAACTCCACTGTGTCCTGCTCCACACAACACCTCATCGACCTGCTGGCTTCTTCCTGCCCTTTTCAGGCCTGTCTTGCAGATGGGTTGAATCTTGGGTACTTAAAAACTGCTCTTTATCATCTCCCTTAAAGGGATCACAACCTAAAATATGGTGACACATATTCACCATTTAGGACCCATCCTTGGCATTCTGTACAATACATAGATTTACATAGATTTACATTCATTCAGTAGATTTACATTATATTCAATCTGTGCACAAAATGTGTCCTCCAGATTTTTTTCAGTGGTAAAAACCCTAAAATTGCCATCTGGTGTCAGTATGGAACCATCAAGCGTTGTGATGTCAAAGCCCCTCCCCTATTCGTTACGCCACCGGTCACGTGGCTTCATCAGGGGGAATTATTGCCATCAATGTGTGCACAAAGTGGTTTATATACAGAGTATATGTGAGTGCATTACTTTTATTAATAAAACGGTTTTAAAAGGATGATACACTATGATTTGATTAATTCCTCTATATCAACCACCGTGGAAGGGGAGCCCATTGATTGAGTGGAGGAGGACCCCAAACAGCAAGATACCATTCCATCCATACTTTGGCCCATTTAAAGGGACACAAGATGTATGACCTTACTTAACGGTTTGGTGAGAGCACAGCCAGTGGGGAAGCACACAAATGCAAGTTTTTTCACACAAAAAATCAATTAAGAGGCACGGGATATTTTATTCTACAGTGAACTTTGCACATTTGAATAAGTTTCTATATGGACCTTTTTTTTTTTTGCCTGTTTTTGACAATTATATGGACACTGTTTATGGAAATTGATACTGGCTGATTCACTTATTTGATCTTTATTTATTTTGATATACATAGTAGCTGTTGGATGCACACATTTATTTTGAGCATTTTTAGGTGAAGCGCGGCACATTTTGGTATATAGAGCTATATGTACTGGACTCCTCAGATCTTACTGGGGGCAGGACTACTGGAATGTGAGATACTGGATACTAGAATGATAGTTCACTAGTGTCATGGAAAATTGTAAGTGAGCTGTATGTACTGGAATGCAGATCTCACCTATGGCATGGATAATGGAAAATGAGCTATATGTATCGTTGTGCAGTTCTCACTGGTGATTTAATGAAGAATAAAAAAAACTGACAACATTTGGAACCCTTTTGAACCCTTCCCTGCTTTAAAAAAACAAGTGCTACGCTTGCCCTCTTTATCTCAGTTGATGGTTCCATTTTTTAATTTCTCATTTTCTGGTGACTGCGCAGAAAGTAGGGAAACATTTACCCAGTGAGATACTAACAATAAAATCTAACCAAGGCATTAAGCGTTACCTATTCAATCTGTTGGAAAAAGAACGTCTTGGATATAGTTAGACTTAAAGGTAAAATAATCTTTTGATGCCTGCTTTTTTAGTTCCAGTGCTGCAGTGAGTTTTGAAAAATACAACATGTCCTTCTTTCTGTGTCTTAGTGTGTTGGGAGGCCTTTAGATGTCAATTGCAGCACCTTAAAAAGCATATAATATGAATTTTGATGCATTGGTATCAGGCATTAACAAGCCTTGGTCAAAGCCTATCCACTGCAAATTAAAAAAAAAAGCACTGAAAATGTGTGTCAAAATGCATGTCAGGGCACAAAAGAAGTGCATATTGACCCATGACAAGGACAAGATAGGTTTGCTTTCGCTGTATTATTTATTTTCAGGACATCCATTTTTGATACCAAGCTAAAGCTCCTCCTCCTTACCCACAGGCCACAGGCATAGTAATGACTACTAGACCCTTTTCACCTGTTCCCATATGGGGAGAGGTGGTCTAAAATGGTGTCTGGTTACCTTTTCTTGCCAAAAAAGCATGCAGTAACAGCCTAAATAACTGCATAGCATGTTAATTTAATCTGTCTAGCCAGAAAGGCACATGCATTTTTACTTTAATTCGGTTGTGTCTCTAAATAAAGTGTCACTCCACCTAAACCTGGCTTTCTTATCAGTCATGACCCACAACAGGGAGATATCTGTGTGCTCTCACTTCTGTGACATAGTCTCACCTCTTCCATAATGTAAAAGAATAGAAAATGAATGATGATTGTGAAAATGATCATGGAAGGTACGTAGACTTAGTAAACCTGCCACTTATATCTCACTGCTGGAATACCTCCAGATTTAAATGTTGGATGTTTCAAATATCAGCTTCTAACGGAAATGGAAAAATAATTTGTGGGTTGCAACAATACTGCATTAATATTAAACAAATCATTGCAAAATAAAGAATATAGACTAGAGCATTTTACATACATGTATTACTTACATAGTTCCAGTATTTACTTTTCTGAAGAATCTAAAAAAGTACAGACAAAGACATCAGCATGAAAACGTGCCTGTAGTTTGCAAAGGATAAAAAAATACACAACTACAGTATCTACTATTTCCCTTACGCTAAAATCTATGACTATCTACAACTACTATTTCCCTCATACATTTTATTACAAATAAAATGGATATTTATGTAAATATTAACAATACATTATTAAAGCAGGATATAATAAAGAACTCCCACAAGTCTTTTGGAAATGCAAGGTAAGGTCATTTTTTTGGACATTTTGTTCATACTTTACACTGACCTTACATGGCACCACCAATGCCAAATCATCCTTAATGTTCCAACTGATGGTATTGTGGATAGATCAAGCAAAGATGCTCTGATGTGTGGGTGTTGTGTAGCAGGGGATTCCCTTAATCCGGCTTGCAGCATGGGGCCCTATGGTTTCCCACACTGGTCACTTAAGAAACACCTGCAGGGTGACCAGGCCTGGCCTAACCAGCACTCCCCAGGAAACCGACACCCATCCTAGGCTCTGCCGGCAATGGACTCCACTGTGACACTAATGCGAAGGGCTGTTTCCAGGTGATATTCCCTTTTTGGAGGAAGGAGCAGTCCACATTAGGAGGTATCTTTCAAGTGTTTACAACATTTCAGCCTCCCAAGAGGGGTGACCACATACAGCTTCAAGGTTACTAATGGAAGAAGTATTGTCAATGCAGTTCCCCTGGTTCCCCACTGGTTAATAGTGTAAAAACACCTGTAATTTTGATGGAGCAGCCCAAGACCAGGCAATTCTGACACCTTTTGTTTACATGTAAAAATCAATATGTTTTTGAAGGAAAGTTACTTAGAACCCCCACACATTATATATTTGTTTAAGCAGAGGCCCTACGAGATAAAATGGTAGGTTTCGCCATTTTTTATGTCAACCGGTTACGCGCAGTGGTTTTTCAAACGCAATTTAAAAACAAATACACTTTAATAAATGTAACTGTACAAAAATACAATATAATACCTAATTGTTCGGTAACTGATGATGTTATGCCAAGTAAATGGATACCTAAGCTTTAAAATCGCATGCTCGTGGAATGGCACTAAATTACAGTACTCAAAAAACTCCATAGGTGACTATTTAAGAGCCTTTACAGGTAACTATTTTGGAGTTACATAGGGGTCTTGTGCTAGAATTATTGCTCTCGATCTGACGTTCGTGGTGATACCTAACATGTGTGGTGCGATCGCCATTTACGTATGCATGAGGGATTGACATGTGCGTTTGCCTTTGCACGAGAGCACAGTGGGGGAGGGGCACTTTAAAATAATTCTTTTTACATTTTTTTTTTAATGTCAGATGTCTCTCTGCCTTTAAAAGCAACAAATCAGACTAAAAGATATTTAATCTCCAGATACTGCACAGGCTTTTGCAGCGCTATAAAAATGTGAGGGGATGGACGCTGCTCAACCGACCCCAAGGAGCTTATTTACTAAAGCTGGAGAGTGCAAAATCAGACTCACTTCTGCATAGAAACCAATCAGCTTCCAGGTTTCATTGCCAAAGCTTCATTGAACAAGCTGAGGTTAGAAGCTGATTGGTTTCTATGCAGAAGGGAGTCTGATTTTGGACTCTCCAGCTTTAGTAAATAAACCCCCAAGAGTCCAATGTTGAGGAATAGCCCCAGCCGCCGTACTGGCAACGGTTTATGATGCATTTTGCCCCGCCCACCAGGGCTTTATCACAGAAGTCAGGCCTCAATGGGCGGGGTGAAACGCATCAGAGGCCGTGGCCAGTTACTGTAGCTGAGGCCATTCCTCAACACTGGACTCCTGGAGTCAGTTGAGCAGTGTCCACCCCTTTACTTGTATTGGCTGACACTGGAATCACTCGGACTCATGCTCCCTTCTCACTTGCCGGTGGGGTGATCCTTTTCCTTCCATCCATAGCTTGGAGTAGCACCATCAGGTATACTTTTCACTAGCTATAAAAATGTAGAATAAACTCCCTCAAGAGCTAGTTCTGGCTTGCTCAGTGGAAAAAAAAGGCTGGATGCATTCCGAAATGCACAATATATAACTGGATATTGACATTTATACATAATAACATCAGAGATTGTTGATCCAGGGTATCAGGAAGGAATCTATTTTTCCCTGCTGGAGCAAATTGGACTATAATTTATAAAGGTTATTTGCCTTCTTCTGGATCAACTGTGGGTATAGGTTTCTGTGTATGGAAGTTTTCAGTTTGTTGTATGTATTTATTTATTTATTGACTTTTTTCAACTTAACTAACCTGCACCCATGAAATAACTTCAAATTGATCTCAAAACTAAGCTGAATGCACCCTATAGCAAGCTGCATTTGCTCATTTACACACGTTCTTAAGGTGTTCATGAACAAATAATAAATAAGTGTATAAAATCTAAATAAACAAGAAAATTATACTTGCCTTCTTGACAGTTGTTAGATCAACACCTATTTGCCTCCATTGGCATTGGAATCTGTTACACCATCCAGGAATAGCATAGCTAAAAAAATAAATACAAAACTTTAAAGATTGAACAGTAAATATTTATGACCTCCTCTGAAGATAATTCCCATAATCCGGTTTCAGCAAGTTTTATGTTTTATATTCAGATCTGAGTTTGTATCAAAATTTGGTATTTGTTCCATTAGACATCATGCTACGCCAGGCACGCCTGAATGTTCATTTCCTTCTGTACAAGCTCCTCGTCTCCTATGATTATTTTCGTATACTGTATAACTTAATGCTAATGTGTGATACTGATAGATACATGCAGACTCCTTTAAATTTACAGTTACTTTTCAGCTGTATGACCTTACAAACAAGAAACACAGACATGGTTTCGAGTTTTTTAAACTTTTATGAGTTCTATGACCAGGGGCGGACTGACAACTCATGGGACCCCCATGCAAATGGAGATCATGGGCCCCTGTGTCCTTGCCCACACTCAAAACACACCCAAAAAAGCCTATAAAAAGGTACCAGGGGCATTTTATGGGGCCCCCTACTGACCCCGGGCCCTCGGGCAATGCCCGAGTGCTCGAATGGTCAGTCCGCCCCTGCCTATGACCCCTGTACCACCGTATCCCTATAACTCATTTGATGAATTTAATCACATATATCACAAATTTAATCACCCAGAAGAGGATACCAAAATAAAGGAAAAAAATTGTTTTAAGTTTTTAAACTTGGTCCCGATACCACCCACCAAATCCTTTCTCCTTACCCTGCTGCCACAGAGACTGCCTAAACACGTGACACGGGTTGATTTACACTGCTCAAAAAAAATTAAAGGAACACTTTGAAAACACATCGGATCTCAATGGGGAAAAATATCATTCTGGATATCTATACTGATATGGACTGGGTAATGTGTTAGGAACATAAGGATGGCCCATCGTTTGATGGAAATGAAAATTATCAACCTACAGAGGACTGAATTCATAGGCACCCTGAAAATCAAGTGAAAAATGATGCAGTAGGCTAGACCTGGATGGACTTAAATTATATGTAAAGTATCATAATTGTATGCAAAATGTTCTCTGATTGGGTGAGGTGGATGTCACTATCCCACTTCTCCGCCTCTTCCAATCAGAGAACGGTTTGCATTCATTCAGTAAATGCAAAGCATTCTCTGAATGTTATCCAAAAAAATTAATGAAACCAGCGCTCAAAATCTTCATGCTGACTAGGGGTACTGTAACTGTCATTCATTGAGGTGCAGCCCTTAGAAAATCGGGAAATCTTGGTACTGGTAAACAAAAGAAAAACAGGGCGCACTCTCTTCGTGCATTACCGTGGTGAAACATGAGTTTATTTAAAAGCATAAAAATGCATACTCGCAAACCACAGGGAGATAAAAACAGAGATAAAGAGTCAGTGGTGAAGCTTCAAAGTGACTGTAGACCCTCATTGAGGCAGGCTAACGTGTTTTGGGAGACATACTCCCTTCTTCAGAGCTCTCCCGAAACTCGTTAGCCTACCTCAATGAGGGTCTACCATCACTTTGGACTGTCACCACTGACTCTTTATCTTTGGTTTGTGAGTATGCATTTTTATGCTTTTAAATAAACTTGTGTTTCACCACAGTAATGTATGAAGAGTGCGTCCTGTTTTGCTTTTCTTTACCATTCTCTGAATGTTCCCTGTGTTGAGCAGCTGACCTGTTTGCACAATGCAGAAGGACAGCCGCTCGGCACAGAACCAAAAAACAAGTGAAGATCAATAGAGTAGCGGTGCTAGATGTCATATGTAAGAGCTGTACCAAAGAACAGCTTATCTCTCTCTCAATTTAGGTTCGCAGTAAGGTTAGATGCAAAGTTAGAACAATATATGCGCATAAAATGATAGCTTTAGACTCCAACATTGAGAACCAGTGACCAAATTAAGTCTAAACTAATTATTAATGGTGACACTTACCTGAAAATTAAAATGACACTGATTATAGGCACAGTCCAGTGATACATTTATTGACACGAAGCTAGAGTAAAATTAGGCCATGATCCAAGTTATTCATCATGAAGAAGGTGACAGAAGAGCTCTCGCAGACTTTCATCCAGTAAGGAAATGTTTATTCATGCCAACAGGCTGAGTAAAAAAAGGTAAAATCATGACTTAGTAAACAAGCTAATATGATTATAAAGATTAATAATTTCACAATGAATTGGAATCTGCCAACATGTCATTGCCTTTCATACATTTTTAGAAATGAATGTAAACTCTGCGTAACTTTTTTATCTAATCTTTATCATCATTCAAGCAACCTGTTACTTGCAATGGTTTTCTTTGGAAGGAAAAGTAAATTTACTTTGGCAGAGCAATGCTAGCGACTATTGCCTATCAGTTCCTACAGTAAAAAATGCTCTACAAATAAAGAAGGTGGACCTTTCATTCATCTGCCCATTGTTCATTGATAGAGTGCTTTTCATTGTGAGAACCAATATTACGGCTTTTATGCAGAGGTGTCGCTAGGGTTGGTGTCACCCGGTGCGGTAACATGTGGTGTCACACCAGTCCTGGGCTCCTGTGCAGAGACTGGCCAGTAATGTGTGATGCAGAAGGGTGGGCTCTGGGTGGGGTCACTACCATTCATAGACTGACATGTTGAGTAGGATCCGTCCAATCAGAGAGCGGGGGCAGGCTCCGTTCTGGAGTATGGGGGACAGGCTGGGTGTGAATTGGCCTGCAGCAGCCGCTGTGATCCCGGGGATCGGACACCCCCACCGGGACCCAACATCTCACCCCCCTGCATGGCATGGCTATTCCTGGGGCTGCAGGAGGGATGAAGAGCCCCAGTACCCGGGGAGAGGACGGAAGACACTCTGCTTGGATGGATGACAGCCACTGACAGCTCTTCTTTTCATTTTGGTGTCACCCCCTGTGATGGTGTCACCTGGTGTGGCCCACACCCCCTGTGATGGTGTCACCTGGTGCGGCCCACACCCCCCCCTAGTCAAGCCACTGCTTTTATGAATGGAGCAGGGGGATGGAAAGGGCGGGGATTGTCGTCACATGACGAGTGCCTGTCACAGCTGCAGTTGCTCATATCAACTCTCACAGCAAAATGACAGCTGCGAGGGTATCCTGGGGCTGATTTCAACTTAACACAGCAACCACCAGCACACGGGACATGTTCATTCATGGTTAGTACTATCCCTGGTGCTGTTTTTTTTTTTTGTTTAAAAGAAGTACATTTCCATAAATTTAAGCTATAAGTAAAAATAGTTTTTGAAACATATTTAGGACCATCTTGATGCTGGGTTTATTTTTAATGTTATCCAGGAAGCTGACTGAATATAAGAATAAGGCCCTTCCATATGGGAGCAGAGATGTCAATTTTGTGACATTCATGTCCTTTTAATTTTGCTGTTGGAGCTTTCTGGACCTATATCAGATTTATGGGTAGTCAGTTGGACTTGCACCCGTTTTCATCAGACAACCTCCTATCTGTCATGTTTAGGGCGAGCAAAAATGGAAAAGGGTGCAGATATTTTCTTTTTTTTTTTCTATCTGGACCTGGATTAACATGGAGGTAATTGTATGTCAACAGTCACACATCTTTTTACATCCACCTGCCCATAGATGCAGCTTCTGTTCAGATCCACCTGAGAAACTGACAGGTGGACCAGATTGGACCGTCTTTGTAAATAGGGCCTTTTGGTGGAATGTTTGCATTATTCGCTTTAGTAAATCCACTCATAAGACTGCATAACTATCCCAAATGTGTAGAGGATGTTCACTTATTACATGCTCAGTTAAAGGGTTAGTTCACCTTTACCAAAAACTGCCTATAAAGGTATGGGGCACCTGTAGATATAAACAAACTGTGCAACATCCAACAAAGTTAAATAATGATTCAAATCCCCCTCCCCCACCCAGTCGATTAAACCCCCTCACATGTGCTGTTTCTCCCCTGTTGCAGTCATTGCCGGATTTAGACCTTGGGCGGCCAAGGGCAGTTGGGGGGCACCTCAACATAGAAATTAAAGAATAAGTTTACTTTTAAAAAGACTATAAATGCATTTTTTGCAAGAAAAAAAAAGTGAATTTATTTTTTTTTCTTCAGAGCCTGCAGAGGATTGCACTCCTGATCAGCAGATCACGGGTGCAATGCCAGGCTTCTGCAGACTCTCAGTATAGCTGTCTGCCCAAACCTCCTGTACAGGTAGAAGAGTCAATTAACTACAAGGACGCTTACCAGCACTCTCACAGTTCATTGAGAACTACGAGGTGGGTCTGTTGCAATGACAGACAGTACTTGTAGTTCATCCATTCACAGAACTGTGTGAATTAATGACGCAGCCATGTAGGTGGAGCCCCACATAGCTGTTCTCTTTTCAAATTTTGGCAGCGGATGCAGGGGGAGGATCCCCTACCAGTTGTCACAGTGAGGGGGGAGATCGCCAGTGCAGGGGGAGGTTGCTGAACATGTTACATGTTACACTATTAATACGGGTGTAACATGTTCAGAAAGGTGAACTTATCCTTTTAATTATATGACAAATAAAAAAGTGAACGGAAATGAATGATAAACCTCATTTGTTCCAAAAAATATATATGTTTGGTTCCCGGAGAAGACATCTGATTATTTTTCTCAATTTTATTGACTGTAAGAATACACATTACACAGGTAATTGGAACTAGCAAGTCATACATCACAGTTATGCATCACACAATATATCATATATACAATATTTGTAAAAAGTCTTTCTTCCTGCACTTAGCATCTGCAAAATCTTTGGCTAACTCATCAAACTGTATCATCTTGAGCAGAGCTCACCAACCCCTGGGCCATGGATTAGTGCTAGTTCATGGCCTGCTGGGGACCAGGCTGGATAGGGGTGGGCAGCAGTCAATTGAGCCAGCACAACCTGCACTGCCACCCTTCAATTACCAGAGGGCGCCCACTCCACTTCCCCCAGCACGACTACTCCCTTCCCTCCCTGTGGTGATATACAGGAAGAAGAGGAAGAGAGATGAAGAAAAGAGGGGGCGGAGAGCCAAGCCGGGGACAGTATCATCATGGAGCACTAGTGAGACCCGTATACTGCAACGGTCTATAGGAGATGGAGATCACCATGTCCTGGGGGCCCTAATACTGAGGCTGCACCCCCCCCCCCACTCGTGACAGGCTGCACCTCCATCACCCACCCCAATCGGGAAACCGGGGACCACTGATCTAGAGGACACTGCTCTCAACAGGCAGTAGGCAAAGTAAACTTAGCCTTCAATGGGTCAGCATGATTCTCAGATATTTCTTTATCAGTGTCAATTTTCTGAAAGACCTCTCTCCCTCACAACTAGTGACCATCATGATCAAATATATTCTAACAGCTACATTAACTTGGAAAGGTATTAGCAAGCCCTTCATCATAATAAAATCATCGTAATAAAACAAGACCAGAGCTTGGCAAAGGCTGCAAACTGGACAATTTCCTCAACAGACTCACTAATGAAGTCTCAAGGGAAAAAAAGTATCTTTTTTTTATAAAGGGAGTCTGGGGCTCCCTCTGGCAGGAGAGTCATGGGCAATTGCCACTTGTGCCCCCTTATAAATCCAGAAATGGGCACAGTAGCTTTCAGCGATGCTGCGACAGAGGAGATAGAGAACCATGTATGTGCTGGGGTGTGAGAGCTCACTCCTGGGATGGTGGGGGTGACTAGTAAAAATTGGGAATGTCTTAGCAGCAAGGCAAGGTGGGATGATGCCAGCTCTGGGAGTTTTTTGGCCAGGCTTCAGGAGATACATAAATGGCCTGCATCTTTAGCAAGGGTATTATTTAATTTTTGTCAAAGCTGCACCATTTGTTTTTATGTACAGGCACCCCATATCGGCATAGGCTGTTTTTATGGTAAAGATGAACCAACACTTTAAGGGATATTCAGAAAAAAAATTTGAATATGTTACAGCAGTTCTTAAAGAGATACTAAAGGCTCTTTTTTTTTTAAAATAAAATAACAAACATGTTATATTTACCTGCTGTGTGGAGTGGTTTTGCAGCCTCAATCCTCCTCTTCTTGGGCCCACTGTCGGTGCTCCTGGCTCCTCTAATCTGTTGGGTGACCCCATAGGAAGCAGCTTGCTATGGGGGCACCCGCTGTTACATGTGTCCATTTACACACGGAGCCGGCTTGGCCCTGCCCCCTCTCTCTCCTCATTGGCTTACTGGCTGTGATTGACAGCAGCGGGTGCCAATGGCTCCCGCTTGATGTCTCTGCCAACGAGGAGGCAGAGACCCGGGATAGCTAAGGCTGTCATGCACATCGCTGGATCGCGTTGGGGCTCAGGTAAGTATTGAGGGGGCTGGAGGCACTGCTGCATACAGAAGATTTTATAGGTAAAAAACCTTGAGCCTTTACAACCACAGTAAATGTGGTGGCTGCATTAGTTTTTCTTAATTATATACAGTATCTTAATGTATCAGTTTTTCAGGCTACATTTTCTCTCGAGAATATCATACGATTTCCCCATGGAGCAATCTCCACTTTCGGCTATTGTATTGACCAATGGCTGGCTTTACACAATAAACAAGTGATCACATTTCTCACTGGCAATTTTTATGTTTATTTGCTCAGGGGCCCACCAAGAACCAATTTTAAGGCTAGGTTCACATCTATGCAGGTTGCATTTGAGCCGTTTCTGCATTGCATCTTGCTTTGCTTGCTTTGCATTTTTGCACCTGCGTTTTTGCCACATTTTGCAATGTTTCTTGTTACTAAGCAGATTTAAAATGCAAAACATAAAATCAAAGACGTAGCAAAAATGCAGTACACACTTTTCTGCAACGTTTCCATTGAGTTTATAGAACCAAAAATGCAACTTTTTTATGTTAAAAAAAGTCCCTGACCCTTTCCAAAAAACATACCAAGTGAAAACGCCGAGATGTGATCATGTCCCATAGGAAATCATGTTAAATGGACTGTACTGTGTTTCTGCAAAGCGCAAAACTGTGCGGAAAACACATAGGTGTGAACCTAGCAGTGCACCAAATGAACTTAGAGTGGTTCTAAAGACATTTTATGCATTAAGATAACAAACCTGAGTGCAACTCCTCCCCCCAGCCCCCCTTATACTTACCTGAGCCCCATCTTGATCCATTGATGTGCATGAGAACCACGGCTCTTCTGAGTCTTGATCTCTTTATTGTCTCACACAGCAGAGGGAGCCATTGGCTCCTGCTGCTGTCAATCACAGCCAGTGAGCCAATGAAGAGAAAGCAGGGGCGGGGGCTGGGTTGAGCCACGCTCTGTGTGTGAATTGACAATGTAGCCAGCCTGCTCAAGTGCCCCCATAGCAAGAGGTTTGTTAATGGAGGAACTCAGCAAAGGGGAGGAGCCAGGACCGCAGCCAGGGGACCCAAAAAGAAAAGAAGTGGGGCTGCTCTGTGCAAAACCATTGCACAGAGCAGGTATGTTAGTGTAATATATTTGTTATTATAAAGAAAAATTACAACCTTTAGAATCACTTTAATGTTGAATAAAATGTAGATAAACAAATATGCAGATTATTACAAAATGTGTTTGAATTGTATACTGCAGTTTACAGATTACAACTGTAACAATAAATTCAATGTCTTATACTAGTTGTCAGTTTAGAAAGTACTTTTAAAATGATCATAATCAATAAATTAGGATCCGGTAAATATTGTAATCAAACCATTGTTCACTAATTATAATACTGAGAAGTCACTGTATTTTTACCGTTTAGCTGTATAAAGAACAGTGTCCCCAGATAACCATCTTGTTGCTATGGTTTTCGTATGCGGCTTGTGTTCAGTTTACACTTGTTTTTAATCATAGTCTGAATGCTTATCTATTGCGCTCAGGAGACTCTGATGACTTAGGAAGAAATAGCAGCAAATAGCTTGAAGAGCCACTACCCACCAAAGGCAAAAAAAGCATTTTGTTTTAAAGTGGTACCAAACCCAGTGATTTAACTATTTCCAAAAACAAAAAAAAATTAACTGTTTCTAGAAAACAGCAAGGACCACTGTAGTAACAGTTCTTTGCTTCCACAGCAGTCTCATAGGCATGGCATATGGATACTTACATCACTCCAAGCTGGACCAATGTAATTATGTAATAAAATCCATACCTTCAGTTCAGCTTTAAAATCTGCATTACATGGCTCTAATTTTAGCAGGAATTGAACAAAATGAAAGCCATGGGTGTCCTGTCACCACCACCCAGGTCAACAAAAGTTGACTTTTCAATTGATGTTTGACCAAGATAACACTTGGAAAAGCCGAGCAGTGCCTGCATCCAATCAGATGCAGTCACTGTCCAGGAATTCTGACAGTTGTGAGTTCCGCTGTCAGATTACAATATCTGGCAGGGAAGATTCCACCATCCATACTGTTTAGAATCTTTTAGGTTTGTTTTGTTCAACCTGCAGGCTGAACAAGAGAAATCTTGAAGTGTATGGCCAGCTTAAAGTATATCCAAATCCAAAAACAAAAATAGATAGTATTACAATTTACGAGTCCCTATATTACTTTCCTTTTCAAAATGTTTTTACTCTATTTTCACCAGGTAATCCTGTCATTAACACAGTTCCTGCCCTAGGGTGCCAACCATACTGATCAGCATTATCAGCTTAGGACAGGGAGTATGTTAGGACTACATAGTGCTGTGTTAGGACTACATAACACCTCTTCTCCATAACAGGGTTATGTTCTGTAGGCCACAGAAATAGCAGAGAACAATGCTAACTGATAACAGTGTAGAGGAAGGGAGCACAGGATGTTATCAGCTCACAAGATTTCTGACTGAATAAACAGCTAGTTGTTTTGCACTTGTTGAACAGGTTAAATAAAACACCTTCAATGGTATATTTAACAGACCAAAATCGAGCAAATAAGAGACATTTATTGTTAGAGTTTATAACAGAGCCGGATCTAGACTATTTGATCTGGGGGTGTAGTAAAAAAAAAAGTCAGGGAACATGACGTCTACTCTGGGAGAGTCATTGACAGTCTTTCACACAGTATCACATCTTGGGAAACACTAGTACGTATTAGGCTGTTTTGGATTAGGGTGATTAAAAAAGAACCTGTGCCCTCTTATATCAGGAGTCCTCATCAGAGACCCCCTTTGCAACAGGAGTCCTCATCAGAGTCCCCCTTTATATCAGAAGTTCTCATCAGAGCCCCCCTTTACATCAGGTGTCTCCACCAGAATGCCTCTTACATCAGGTGTCCCCATCGTGGTCCCCCTTACATCATTGTCCCCCATCAAGGTCCCCCATACATCAGAGTCCATCTTAGGAGTCCCTCTTCACATCTGGGTCCCCATCTGAACCCACCTTACATTCAGGTCCCCATCAGAGACCCCACCAAAGCCCCCCTTACTTCACTCCATCAGAGTGCCCCCTTACATCAGGTGCTTCCATCAGAGTGCCCCCTTACATCAGGTGTCTCCATCAGAGTGCCCCTTACATCAGGTGTCTCCATCAGAGTGCCCCATTACATCAGGTGTCTCCATCAGAGTGCCCCCTTACATCAGGCGTTTCCATCAGAGTGCCCCCTTACATCAGGTGTCTCCATCAGAGTGCCCCCTTACATCAGGCGTCTCCATCAGAGTGCCCCCTTACATCAGGTGTCCTCCTTACATGGATTGTTACCATCAGAGTGCCTCCTTACATGACTGTCTGCATCAGACTGGCTCATGGATTACTGGATGCACTCTGAGACCTGGGGGGGGCACAGCTAAAATCTGGGGGCACAGCCCACCCCAGTACCCCCCTAGCTCCTGTCCTGGTTTATATACACTATAACATTCAAGGCATGCCTCAGGTGATAACTGTCACATTTGCCACTGTGCTTATTGCCACTGTGCTTTCAGCCCTGGTTCACACACATGCATTTTGTGATGCATTTTGAGCTTGTGGATTCGAATGACAGGTGAAATTTAATCTGTTCCTATGAAAGGTGTTCAGATAGATGCATCGGAGCCACAGTACGGTTTGAAAAAAGGGTCCTGTGCAAGTTTGGAACTGTGCGATCCGAATTCGCAGTCTACACAATTGAGTGGGAACTATCAGAATACAATGTGTTTTTCAGTTCATTTCCCTGGCAGCTGGTGAGAGAGAGTGAGAGAGAGAAAAAAAAACTCACTCTGAAAAACCTATGGACAAGGCAGCTGTAAATTGCATTAAAAATGCATTGCTATTGTAACAGAAATGCATGTGATTCACACATTAATTAATTCACATTTTTGAAAAGCATATGTGTGAACCTAGGCTCAAGATCTAAAAGGGTTGGTGTCAAAGCTGATCAAATGTGCAGTGCCATGGCAACTGCAAATCTAAACAGAGGCTAAGGGTCACCATACACATTACAATGTGACCATACAATTTTTGTACAATTCCCACTCTGGATCTATAAGCACTCAATGTCTTTATTCAAGTGCTAAAATATCATATGGAATCCATCAGGCCAGTTATTGCTTATCTCCATTTGGGATATTTGCTGACCTCTGTGGACATCAAGAAAGCTTACTTGCATGACTGTTTCCAATGCATCAACACTTTCTGCATTTTGTTGTGGGTGCACAACACTACTGCTTCATTGTTCTTCCCTTTGGTCTGTCCACTGGATCATGAGTATACTCAGTAAGATGCTAACCCCTGTGCTTGCTATGTTGTGTTTACAGGGCATTCCCATCTTGAAATATCCTCCTGCTGAGATGGATCCTGGCACATCAGAAGTCAACACTGCAAACAACTCATTTGATGTTTCCAGGTATCTTTCTAGATACTGCTCAGTCCAGGGGTTTCTCCACAGGATAAGGCATCATGTATACTAGCAGCTCCTAAACTCACGTTTAGAAGCTTTTGGTGTTTTTTTTTGCCAAAGCTCCTAAACTAAACTCCATAAAAGCTTATCTGTCCATGTACACATAGGCTTTTAGCAGAGTTTAGGAGCTGTCGGATTTAGGTGAGGTTAAATCTCCCTCTCCTGAATGCGGAAGAATCGTGTAAAGGATAGGAACGTTTTGACCGCCGGACGCGGGAACATGCAAAACGTGACAAAAATGCATACGGCATTTAAACGTGTTTTTGTTGCATTTTGTGTTTTCCTGCAGCCAAGGTTACTCTCTGCTTTCAACTTCAGGATCTGCAGTGCAGGAATCGTCCAACTCTCCACTTTTGCATCAGAGGTCTGAGTTTGATTGTGGCCTCCTTTGATGCAGTCCCAAGTGCCCAATTCCACTTCAGAACATTACAATTCAACATTCCGGCTGTGTTTGATTGTGGCCTCCTTTGATGCAGTCCCAAGTGCCCAATTCCACTTCAGAACATTACAATTCAACATTCCGGCTGTGGGAGGCAGGAAGATACAGTCTCTGGATTCACTATTTCAAATGACACTCAGGACCAGGTTGTGCCCAGCTGGGTGGCTTACTAATCCAGCCCTAAAGTCCGAGAAATCCTTCTTTCCACTGGTCCAGAAGAGCCTTACAATAGGAGTCCTTGACTCCATCTCAAAGCAAGGAACCTGGTCACCAGAGGGGGTTTATCTGCGAATCAAGATATGGAAGCTCTGAACAAATCGGCTGTCTCTTCAACATGATCTCCCAACTGCATGGTCATCTGATCAGGATTCAATGATGGCATACATCATTAAGGAACCGGAAGTCTTGATGTGGAAAAAGGTGACACAGATTCTGGCTTGGGCAGAACTTTATGCTCAAGCCATGTTTGTAGTGCACATCCTAGGCATAGGCAGTTGACCAATGGACCTCAGTCATCAGCACATGACAGCCCATGGGATCTTCCAAATCATTCAGGACATCAGTCCCAAAGTATACCATCCAGCTTCACAGTTGCTTGCTTTGACAAAATGGTCCTTCTAATTCAGTCATGCCTTTTATTTTAAAAGCTGGAAAATATTGTCACCACAATCAGGGTCTACTATCATATATGGAAAGCAAACTTTACGTAGTGTGGGCAAGACACTTTCATCCCAGCAAATACTAAACATTTGGTCTTGAGTATCTTGTTTTAAAAACTGCTTGCTTCTTGTTCAGAGTCAGTGAGCCGTTTGTGTTTATCTCTCAGTTACATATGCTTTCAGATGGTCTTACTCTCATTCCTGTAGGTCCCTGTAAAGGGCAACCTGCCTCTCATTCAAGCCTACAGGCTTAAGCAGGAACACTAGATCAAGAAAACTGGATCATTGATGCCCCTTGGGCTTTTCGGCCTCTGTTTTCCAAATTTGCCAAGAAGCCACCTGGTCTGTTCTGAGTTTTACCATGTGCATGCTCAGGCCTCACCTGATGTCAGCTTTAGAAATAATGTCCTTCAGGAAGTTCTTTGAGAATCAGTTTTCCCCCAGTTTTTATTTCCTGTTTTTTGGGCTTATTAGCATTGTGTTTGTAGTTTTACACACCCCTTAGTTGTACTGCTTTGGGAAGTCCCAGTCATCTCAGAATTCTTTCTGGCCCATAATAAAAGTTTAAGAATACATTTTTTTTTTTTTTTGCTCACCACAACATTTTTTTTTTGGAGTTTGTTAAGGGACACTGTCCTACCACTCTGTTATTATGGTCCACTCCTATTGCTGCTTTTTTCATAAAAACTTAAGCATGCTGGAAATGCAACGGTTTATACCAGGCTTACAGCTTTCTATTCACCAGTGTCCTGTAAGTAGTGGTACAATCCAGTTGTTTCAGAGGTCCTTCTGACCCTGTGTCCCTTAATGAACTCCAAGAAAAGGATTTTACAGTAAGTCATTTGCTTTTTTTATCTTACCAAGCAGTAAATTCATTTTGTTAAGTCTTCACTAACCTCTGTAACTGCAGGCATAGTTCATACAAAGGATGAACACCGTATAATTTTATCAGCTAGGGATCCTGCCATGTCGTCAGCAAATGAGGGCCTATTCTCAATATAGACTACATGTTTGCTGACATTATTCAGATGTGTGCATCTCACACCACTTACAGTATATGCTTAAGATTACATTATGAACACAAACGTCTAGAGCACTTAGCAGTACAGAGGATATAACAGGATTTTTTCTGGGATTGTAATTAATACTGTTACATTTTTTCTATTACATGATATATAGTTATACTCCTATTGCTTGCTAAAATTCTAGTACTTTAGTCTCACAGAATTGTGATTGTTGTTATACAGGATTTATATAGCACCAACAGTGAGCAGAGCTTTACAAAATAAGAGTAACAGTACAGTTACAATACAATTAAATGTTGATGGGTTAGGAGGGCCCTGTTCATGAAAACTTGCAATGAAAGTTCATAATATTTCCTGCCCCTTCCACTGACTTCTCTGTTAAAATCATTGGCTCAACAATCAACCCGTCCCCACATGCCAGGAAGCTCGGTGTAATCCTGGAGTTTGAACTATCCTTTCGGCCTCACATCCAATTGCTGTCTAAAGCTTGCCGTCTCAATCTCCGCGACATCTCCAAGATACATCCTTTGCTAACCAAGGACACCACAAAGCTTCTAACTCACTTCCTGGTCATCTCCCGCCTTGACTACTGCAACTCCCTCCTTACTAGCTTGGCTTTGCATGGACTATCCCCCCTCCAGTCCATCATAAATGCTGCTGCCAGACTCATCCACCTTACCAACTGTTCAGTGTCTGCCACCCCTGTTTGCCAAATCCTCCACTGTCTCCTGCTCACACAACAAATAAAATTCAAGATACTTACAACTTATAAACTCGTCCACAACTCAGCCTCTAGTTACATCACTTACCTGGTCTCGAAATACCAACCAAATCGTTATCTTCCTTCCTCCCAAGACCTACTGCTCTCTAGCTCCCTTGTCACCTTCTCCCATGCTTGCCTCCAGGATTTCTCCCAAGCCGCTCCCATCCTTTGGAACTCCCTGTCCCAATGTGTCCGGCGATCTCCATCTCTGTCCACTTTGAGATGATCCATGAAAACTCATCTCTTCATAAAGGCCTATCCTGCCCCACCTAACAACTCTACATGTATTTTGTCCATAAGCCCATCCCCCACAGTTACTACCTTTTGTATCTCTCGACCCTCCCTCTTAGATTGTAAGTTCTAATGAGCAGGGCCCTCTGGATCCTCCTGTATTAATTTGTATTGTAATTGTACTGACTCAGTGAGGAGGTGTAGATAGAGAACAGAAGGGGTCCATGGGCAGAGTCTTGGAGGACCCCTCTGTAAAGAAGAAGAGTTGAGGGGAAGATAGAGTTTAACTAGTTTCAGACTTTGGGCATGCTAGACATGCCCCCAGAATGTCATTGTTGTACACAGGACCAGCGTAGCAAGTCCAGTGTCTCTGCCCTGCTGCTTGGACTCCCCCTCCTAGTATACAGCAATTATTGGCTTTTAATTAATCAAAGCAGGGATCACTTTATACTCAGAGGTGTAGGCAGCTGCAGTTGTCAAAAAAGCAGTGTTTATAAACAACACTGCTCCATATGTGAATAAATAAAAAGATACAAAGTAAAATAATGTTACTTTTGTATCGTTTTCTTCATTCATCTACAGATCAAAGGGATGAACTTCTCTGCAGATGATGTCAGTTAAAGTAATTTAACAAGTAAAAAGTTGTGGGTTTTTTTTTTTAAATAAAATGATCCTCTGTTTAACTCCTTATTAACCCTTAGATTACGCTCATCAACCATAATTAACTCCTTATTATCCTTCTTCATTTAATTAGTATTTTTCTGCTGTTTTTTTCCC